GGGGCAATGAAACAATGTCCTAAACTTAGCACCAGCAAAGGGTGCCCTGGAATCTCCTCCTAATCAGCTTTCTAACAATGATCCCCCAACAATCTGTGGGCTGGAAACTCACAATGCTGCTACAGCCAAGAATGCAGGTGTCTACAAGGCCAGCTGCTGCCACCTAAGTAGTCTGTGCTGTGCTCCACTCTGATCACTTTAAGGAGAATGGCCTTTATTACAGACCACTTAAGTTATCTTAAGCTGGAAAATTGTTTACTGAAACATTTGTTGGTTTTACAATCTAGAATTTGATGTGAAATCTTATTTTAGAGTTGACTGGAGAGGAATCTAAGAGAGCTTAGCTGAGAGTTTGTATATTGCACCATCAACACCAACTCTCCTTGTTTTAATTGGTTATTTGGACATAGTAACTAGGATTTTCTTCACATAATACATATTTTCATGAACCTTTGTCTAAATGATATAGTTTTTGCCTGACTGGATATGAATGCTTTCCTTCCTTAGAGTAAATTGAAATTAGTGACTTCTACGGTCAATCTGCACAACCAGGAGCCAGAATAAGTCGTCAATTCATGGTAAGATGTAACGAATTGTATTCACTAGATCTCTTTCAATCCCAACAACTACAGCGTAAACAGACAAGTTGTCATGCCTCTCCACATCTAGGTGCAGAGTAGTTTCCCCTTTTTCTGCTAACTTCCCTGTTCCATTACCACCAAAATTTCTTACTATGGCTCTTTCACCTTGTGAAACATGCTGATAGGAAACATAAGCAGAATATCATTAATTTATTTTTGTATTTTTCTTGTACGATGATGGAGCCAAGTACTAAGTTTTTTTTCAACTTCTCCCTCAACTAAGCAAAATATTGGCCATGATTTAGAAAGCTGGATTTTGTGGGCTGCTCCTTGAACACATCACATGTCATCATCATGCTGTAAGAACTTATCTGTTTTCTTATTGAGATTCTGCCCCAACTTCTCTTTCTCATCACCTAGCCTGGTAGGTAAAATATGTCTAGGGATCACTCTAGTAATGGAAGGGAAGCATGTTTTTCAAAGAATTATACTCACCACCTAAATCTGTTTTGCCCTAATTCTCCTCCAAAGTTTCAGAAGGATCAAACATGCAGATATTGAGTTCCATATCGTTGAAGGGAATATTCTCCCAGGCTAGTATTGACTCTGATTGGAGCTGACACTCCTCTGACACATAAAGATTCTGGAAAAAAACAAGATCTAAATACCCTTTACTTCATTTTCAGCAGCAATTTATTGACACAATTCCAAGCTCACTTTAATATATCCTACATATGATATTTGTCAGTACTTTAAGGCCAAAACCAATAAGAGTCTATATGGGAGTTTGCTTTAAAGATTTCCCATACAATGACTGGATTTTCATGGTCACTTGGACAAGAGACCACAGTTTAGGACAGCAATGCAATATACATTCTCACTTTTTAATCACATATATGAGGTCCTGCACATCCATAATGTCCACTGCTGCTATGAATCACTGATGAGGTAATTGCCAATGTTTCTTGAGATTTAAGTGACATCCTCTCTTGCCCCCTCTTTTTTTCTGAAATTGCTCCTATAGTGCTTAGCCTATAAATGAACTAAAAACAAAAAACGAACTAGAAAAACAACAAATTGAAAATGACCAATTAAATATCAAATTGGAAATCCTGAAAAACAAAAGAGAGATTAATAAAATTGAAATTAAGAACACCATTAAATTAATAAATAAAAAGACTAGTTTTATGTAAAAAATAAAATGAATAACCATTGGTTAATTTTATTTTTAAAAAAAGGAAGCCAAAGTATCAGTATCAAAAATGAAGAGAGTCAAATCAATACCAAATAAGTGAAAATTAAAGTAAGTATTAGAAGATAATTTCCCTAAAATATATGCCAAAAAATCTGACAAGCTAACTGAAATGGGTGAATATTCACAAAAATATAAATTCTCAACATTTAAAAAAGAGGAAGTAGTATACTTAAATAACTGTATATTAATATATATGTGTATGTATATGTATATACTGAATAGGCCATCAATGAATTATCTAAGAAAAAATTAGCAGGACAAAATTGATTCATAAGTTAATTCTACCAACTGTTTGAAGAACAATTAATTCTAATACATAATAATTCATTTGGAAAACTAGGGAAAAAAAGACACTATCAAAATACATGTATTAGACAAACACTGTTTTGATACCTAAAGTATGAAAAGTGCAAAAAGGAAAAGAAAACAATTTTGTGACAGAGAAAACAGAGTGAGAGGTTTCATGAATAAGAAGGATGGAAAAGGAAGACAGAGAAAAGTGGGAGATATACTTTTACCAGGAACATGACTGTGGAATACCAGGATGATAACTCCTATAATATCTTGGCAAGAGAGTAGCTCCAACTCCTGGAGCCAGGGAGTGACTCCATGACAAACCTTCTGTTTGCAGCATCATTTCTGCCTCCTCAGTCCTTTCTTTAGAAGAGTGAATAAATTCCCCTGTCTGTTTCCAAAGTTCAAAGTTCTGGATTGTTAGAAGGCAGACAGTGTATAAACATCCCTCTCCCCATAACATAACATTACATAAAGGCAACTGGAATATATTTTTGTGTAGCATTTGGTCATCTTGCTACGTGAGAGCCTAAGAAAGGGGACTTACATGAAGAACTACAATTTCTTGTTCAAACAACCAGGTTTCAATCTGTAGACTTGTTAAAAAGTCAACAGACATTTGTTAAAATGTTCACTTTGTGCCTGGCACTTTGCCAAGAGCTTGGGACACAAGTACAAGAAACAGAAAAATGGAATCAATGCCCTTAAGGAGCTTAATGTATAGTGGGGGAAGACATCCCCTAAAAAGCACAGAAAATGAGGAGAGGTTCAGGGAAAAGGTCCTCTTGGGTGTTGGGCATAGTATGGAAATCCAGAGATTCAGAAGCAGAACTGAGACAATGAAGGATGGTTGATCTGGAGACCTCTCTCAAAGTGAGGGTCTGGTAGGAACTCTCCAATGGCCAAGAGGACTCTAAAGGTTGTGGGAGGTTCCAGGCTAAAATGGTCAGTTTGTGGTTAGAAGGAATCTTCTGAAGGGGTGAGGAGAAAGAATATTTTTGGAAACAAAACACTTTTGGACTGGTGACTCCCTTCTTAGATCAGTTAGTTCTTTAAAGTGGGTCTCTTCTTGGTTAACGGGTCAAACTACTCCTGGATTCATTCTAAGATGTGGCTTGGCTACTACTATTGTTTCTGCTCTTAACCCTAAGTGATCAAGTGACCTATGATGAAACTTTCAACACTTTGGTACTTCAAAGTTCAAAAAATATTCTCTTCTATATCTACATATTTATTAAAAAATGCTGAAGAAAGAACAAAAAGCAAAAGAAAGAAGGGCAATATGGTTAGGTACATGGAGAATTGAGAACAAAGTACAAGGCAGGCTTCCTGGTTCTTGTTTAAGAACACAAAAATTTCAAAAACATCTTTCTGTGTGCCTGACTTTAATGGAGGGTGACGTGAAGTGGCCAGTGAAACTGGGTCCATCAAGCAGGAGGAGAATTTCTCTGCCTGCCAGCACTTCAACCTGTGAAACTTCAGAAGACAGTTTGGGCCGTGATGATTCAGAACTTCCTAGGTAGTGATTCCTACCACGGATCAATATTTCCCTTTCTCAGCCCTTCCTGGCATTTTGGCAAGAACACTAGTGAACTCATAGCTACTGTCCTCTTTATTCACCCAACTGGATACTTTGTGGCCCTAAACAGGAGACCTCCCACTGAAGAGCCTTTTCATCCTGGAAGGCCAGTTTGCCTCTGTCACCACCTCCACTGATTAATTGGTCAGTTGCTCCTAGAACCTCTAACACCTAACTTTCCAGCATTCTCCTCCACTATTCCTCTCACAGTTACCTACATGTTATGCCAAATCCCCACATTGAAGCCTCCTTTGATGTGTTTTCCCCACATACTTGGACATAAGTTTTTTGAGGTCAAGAACTTAAGTTATAGTGAATATATCTGTATGCCCAGTGTGTACCACTGTGCTGTTGTTGTTTGTCTTTTGTTCAAGAAGAGGACCGTGACATCAGGGAGGTAATTCCAGGACATGGAAGTGAACTGGAGTTAAGTGAGGGATATAGATCAGGACCACTGGAGATGACCCTGGATGCAGTGGGAGACCTCGACCTTTTTTAAGCTAAGGTCTTTAACAGGTCTCAGTTTGACTGAGGAAAAAGCCAATCAGTGATTAGGGCTAGGTAAGAAATGAGGCAGAGAATCACCTCTTTACCTAGTCAAAAAAATAGATCTGGGAGGGGAAGACCCTCATGGTTTCTGGTCAAAACAGAAACAATTGCTACTTACATTCAGTTGATAAAAATTTATTTCTTAGAAATAACTTAAATTGAGTATATAAATTATTTCTTTTCTGAAGGGACACATCACATATTTGACAAATCAGGCACAGATGCAGGAATGAGGCACATTTACCACCCAAATTGGAAGATCACTCTAAGTACAGATTTGGATGATGCTTGTTAGTACAGACTGCTAAAGGCAAGGACTAGAGGTTCATCCTTTTTGGGAAAATACACAAATCAATTTCAAAATAAAAAGGGAGAGATCACTTTCCCTTGAAATTTTTTGAGATGACGATCAGAGAAATCTTTCTTCCATCTAAAATCTTTGTAGTTCTATACAAATATAAAACATGAACTAGGAATATAGTGACCATGAGTTTGGCATATATTCGCTTTGTTCAAAAGCATCAGAATTAAACCATTATAGCACCACTTCTTCTAGAAGACAGAGTGGGTTCACTGATGGAAGGGACCGTTTCTCCAATTTTGTCAGAACAGTGCCTAGAACTTCTTGATAATTGTTTTTTGACTCACTGACACTGCACCAGAACAGATTATAGAGGATTTGCTGTTTTAAATACAAAGAACACATTGGAAGAAAATGAGTGACAGTATTGGGTTCCCTTACCTGTGGAACTTTATAAAGTTTGAGAATGGTGGCCATGGACATGGACAGTGTAGACGACATCCCTCCAATGACAGCCACTGAATTGGGATGACTGTCACAGCTATAGTTTGGAATAGTTGGACCCATCCCTGATAGCCACATCAAGGCGCTCTCCACTGCTAGTCTGTCATGGTGGAAGTTATTGAGCAAATGATAACCCAAGGTTATGTTTGGCAGCAAATGGGGATTGTTGTTGATCTCATCCACAGCAAATTGGAGAACAAGAAAATGTTGGTAATGTTTGCGCAATGCCCTAAAGTGGGAGGAAAAATATAAAGAGGCAGGCACTCTGTATGTGCAGAAAGAGCAAGGTGTCATAGTGGATGATATATTTGACATGGAGTCAGGAACTCTTGTCTTAAATCTTCCCCCTAACATTTACTAACAGTGTGGTCCTGGGTCAGTCATCGTGTCACCCTGAGTGTCAATGTCCACGTCTGTCAAATGAGAGACTTGGACTAATCATTTTCTAAAATCCTTTCGAACACGCATGCATACACACACAGACATGATGATGTGCTTTAGACATTAGAATATGTCTAGTCTTGCAATGCAAATGAAGAAAGCAGGCACTCTGATTTTTTGTCTTCTGCAAACAGAAAAAGTGGCTTCTAATTCTGAACTTGCAATTTGAAAATATTTTAATGGCCTCCTTGACCATGCAAAGTGTATTAGATAGGAATAGACAAATATATTTATAACCTTAACTTATAGATATATTGTAATGATTTTCAAGATTTTCTGTTGGGGTTTAAATGGAAAACATGTATTTAAAATATAGAATTTTCATGAAAATGCAATGGCTAACATTTTAGGATTCAAGGTGAAGTACTCATCACATCCTTTCTTAAATAACTACCTTAAGCTAAACCAGGAAGATTTTCCAAATTTAGAATTTTCAGGGCATTTTATTGGTCCTACAGTTCATCCTCCTATCTTATTCAGGTAAGAAAATAATGTTCCTCTCTTAGAAGCTGGATTACTGAGAATCAGAGAATCAATCAGTCAACACTTACTAAGCACCTACTATGTGCCAGGTACTGTGCTAATCAATGAGGATACAAAAAGCAACAAGAGAAAGTCCTGTCCTCAAGGAGATAACATCATAATGGGAAAGACAGCATGTAAACAGACACACATACACACACAGATAGACAGAAAGTCAGAGAGAGAGAGAGACAGAGAGAGAGAGAGACAGAGAGAGAGAGAGACTGAGACAGGGACAGAAAAAGAGATGAGAAAGCGATAGACAGAAGGACACACATACAGGCAGGCAGGAAACTATATATTTATGAGATATTTCCAAGCTTAAATTAGCAGACCTTGGCAACAGCTTGGATATGAGGGGAGAGGAATGGAGAAGAATGTAGGATTGCTCCAAGGTTGGGAGCCAGAAGGCATTGGAGGATAGTAGTAGGAAGACAGTTAAGGGGCAAAAGAGAATGATTTCCATTTGGGATGTACAGAACTTAAGCTGTCCAGTGGACATTTAATTCAAGATATCTGAAAGGCAGTTGGTGATATGAGATGTGAGGTCAGTAGCGAGTCAGGGCAAAGATAGGTAAATCTGAGAATCACCAGCATAGAGATGCTATGTAAATCATGGGAGTTGTTAAGATAAGCAAGTAAAGTCGTAGAGTGAGTAGAGATGAATGCCTGAGGGCCAGTTACAGTTAGACAGTGTGATCTGAAGGGAATCCAGCAAAGGAGCTGAAGGGAATCCAGAGAAGGAGCAGTAAGAAAAGAAGGAGGAGAACAGGGGAAACTTGGTTCCCAAAACCTAGAGAGAACAGAGCACCAAGGAGAAAAGCGTGATAAACAGTAGTAAAGGCTGCAGAGAAGACAATGAGAATGAGGAAGAGAAGTTAAATAGATGCTCTCAAACTCACAACTGAACAAACTGAAAGACAGAAACTGGGGTTCCCAATGAGCAAAAACTGAAATGATTAACAAGTGATTTCAATCAGCTTAAAAGCATTTATGAGGCCTCTACTAGAGTTCAGGCATTTGCAAGTCATGTGAGTTTAGAGACAAAAAGTTTAAAAAAAAACAGTCCTCAAAGAGATTACATTCTAGCCAGCGGAGAAAACATGTCCACATAGCAAGCAGTACATTAAATTAGAGACAAAGATGACAAAATATGATTTGGAGGATGTCACTAACAGCTCGGGGTGGGGAGGATGGGGATAATAAAGACTTCATGTCAAATGACAAATGAAAAGCGGAATTCTGTGGCATGGAAATGAGGAAAGATTGCATTCCTGGAAGGAGAGACAGTATTCCCCAAAGCACAGAACCAAGCGATGGAGTGTGGAGCATGTAGAATGGTGTGCACTCTTTGGCTTTATTAAAAAAATCATGAAAGATGGTAAAGGATAATAAATATAGATATTTGGATGGGGCCCAAGACATGAAGATGTTAAATGCTTGTGAAGTTTACCTTTCACCAGAGAGGTACCAGAATGTGATTCCAATTTAGCAAATACGCAAGGGATATGCCAAGTGTTGTACTTTCTGAAAATACCTTGGACTTCATTGGGGAGACCAGCAAATGCCAGAAAAGATGTGGAGGAGAAGAGCCATTAGGGGGTCATTTTAATGCTCATAGAAGAGGTGACCAATTCTTGTCAGGAAGTCATTGAGTGAGGGGAAAAAGGGGGACAAGTATATAAGGTTGCATTTTGATAGACATTATGAGTGTACAAATGATTGGATACATATCTTCATCAGACACCAGATTAAATGGAGAGAGAATGGGCTTTTATTAGTACATTGAATATAGAAAAAAGGGTTTTTTCAGGGTTTTTTCATGTATTTACATTGTAAGTTCATGTATGTGTGTGTATACTTCCCCCACATATATGTGTATGTATTTATATGTATCTACACATATATACACACACATATATGTGTGGTTATGTATTTATGTATGTATATGTGTGTATGCATGCGTATGTATATCTGTATATACACACAGATACATATATACATGTGTGTGTATATACACATCACCTTTTATGTTCATTATAACTACTAGGGATTTAACTAAAAGATTTTAAAATCTTGTGTGTTTCTACCTTCCATTTGATTGACTAGAAGTCACCTATACACATACAAACAAAAAATATACATTATGTACATAAAAATAATGCAGTGAAATCTTTGTGGTTTTGTTATAGTAACTGGAAAACTAAGGGAAAACTTCATGTAGAAAGTGGTACTCAAGATCACCTTTAAAAGAAGCAAAGGATTTTGAGTGTCCAAGTAACAAGTGTAATCATCTTCCAAGCACGGGCAATTACCTCTGCAAAGATATCATGGAAGGAAGTTTGATTTCACGTATGAGGTGCAGCAAGTATATCAGGTTGGATTCAGTGTGGATTACTTGAAGGGGAGTGTTGTGCAATAAGCCTGCAAAGGGTAATGAGGCCTGGGGCAGAGACTAAAAGCTATTGTAATTTAGCAAATGAGATCTTATTTCCTCTTACAAACATGGAGTACCCAGTGGTATTCTTTGGGCCTAAAGCAGAGTAATGATATGGGCACACACACCAAAGTTTTCAAAATGCTGCTCTGGCAGCTCTGTGAAGACTCAAATCATACATCACAAAGGTTAACCTCGATAAAATATATGATGAGGAGTCTTCTGCCTTTTTATTTAAAATCTCCATTTAGGAAGAGCCCACAATATCCAAGGGGAACCCATTCAAGATTTGCATAAGTTGAATTATTAGAAAGTGTTTCCTTCCATCAACTCTAAATGTGTCTAACCACGTCTCTTAGTTATGACCTGGAGAATTAATAAAAAAAAAAAAGTCTTCCAAATCAATAGGCTTAGGGCAATGATAAGAGTTATCGTGTTCCCCTGGGCTTTTTAAAACCATTCTGATTCATTCAAACTGATTTGCAGGTGACATTAACTTAAGGCCCAATTGCCATACTTCTTGCCCTTTTCCACTTCCTCTTCAACTTTTCCCATCATCTCCTGCAATGTTATGCCCAGAAAATAACATAAGAAATCAAATGTGGTCTGACTAATGTCTTGTACTGAAAGACCATCACATTCATAACAATCAAAATAGAAGAAAATTCCTCTCTTTAAATCACTGAACAGTTCACTAGAACTCTCAAATAATTTTTCTGATAGTAACCACACCTCAGTATTGGTATTTTTACGTTCCTGGTTTTGAAGGCAGAATAAAGAGTGAATTTATCCCTATTAAATTTCTCCTTAGAAACTGGTTCGGTGCCAGCCTTGAGCCTTCCGAGATTGTGTAGTGTCCTGAGTTTCTTATGGCATGTTTTATCAAACCCTCCTAGCTCTGTGTCATCTGCAAATTTGGCAAACCTCTCTTGTCCTTCACCAAGTCCTTGGAAAAGATGATGCTTGAATCATTTCATTTGAAATGACTGGGGTTCTTCCCAATGTACACAAAAAAATGAGGAATAACATTTTTTTTTAGCTTTTAAAAAAGAAAAAATCCTAAAAGTTAATACTTTTAAGATATACTTTCCTCATGTGATTGCTGTAATGCCTTTCCCATTCACAGAGTAGGAGTATGACCAGAAGAAAGTCAAGATGAAGAAATTCTGGCAGAAAAGAAGAAAACAACCAAGAATATTTAGGAGAACTTTGAGGGAAGAATAATCTATCATGCAAAATGGAGAAGAATTAAATGAAAGTAAGGGGAATAGCGATCAGAGAATTTCCATGCCCAGGTCTTAGCAAAACTCCACCTATTGGGTACATAGGACACATAGAGGGACCTAGAACTGTGGAACATTTCACATACCACCATTAGGAGATATCCATGAAGAGAGCCCTATGCTATTATCACTGACCTCATTGTAATGCTCTCTTAGGGACAATTCCCAAACCGGTCCAATCACTGTGTCCCCTCCTAAAATTTCAAAACCATTTTTAAGATATAGTAGGAATGGAAAAGAAAGAAAGCAAAGTAAAAGGTTTGGGGATAATAATGAGGATTGAAAAGATTGTATTGAATCTTAGCCTCTAAACCTTTCAAAGGAGCTGTCTCATTGCTCGGAGGAGGAATTATTTGCACAAATCATCATCACAAATATAGGCAACATTGCAATGATAGTAAATAAAACAAGTCTTGATTCCAGGGTCATTTTCCATTTGTTAATCCCAAGCTCATGGTCCGCACGTGGTGTATATCTGAGAGAAACTACCCTATAGTTTACATTATGTAGACAGAAAAGGATTGAAATCTCCATGCAATTAATGAATCACTGGTCTGATAGATATGTCAGTTGTGGTCATTGTAAACTTTATATTATTTGGTGTTTTAGATATATTTTAATATTATATTGATAGAACTCCAATATGGAGTCACAGATCACATGGTCATAAAGTCCCTCAGAGTTTATAAGCAAAGATAGACATTTTGCCTTTTCCCTGGTAACTCTGTCAGGCAGATGAGGCTTGCTGCTTTGGATTGGATGAATCTCTGGATGGACTGGAGTACTCTGAATTCATTCTCTTTCCTGGTGCCTAAGATAGTTAATGCTAAATCCTTCCCCCAGTTTATGGTATAAAGATGCAGAAACTCCCCCTACCCAAACCTCACTCAAGCCTAGCAGTGATAAGTAACCTCGAGAACTTCTTCCTCACATTTGGGTCCAATAAGGAATATTTGCTCCCATATTTGGCACCAATAACCAGTTGTAAACCAGCCCATTCTAAGTAAATACTGTTTTGCCACCTGCATCTCAATTTTCAGCGTATTTTCTCCATGATGTGTTTCCCTCTCTTCCTACTGGGGGATTTTTTCGTCTGTGGGTAAAAATCTCTGACTGTTTAAAATGCCATACATGGTGTGAATGGAGAGTCTCTAATTCTCTGCTTGCTGTACTACACATTGATAAAACCTTTAATTTATCAGCTTCCTGAGGACCAGGCTTCTAGAAATTTTCAAATCCAGGTCTTTGCTTTAAACAATGCTGTGATGCTAAATAAAACATAACCCTAGAAATACACAGTTATTCAGAAATATGGTTGACAATTTCATCAATAAGAAAAGTAAAAACAACCACTTACTGTGAGCTTGGAGCAGTCCAGACAGGAGGACGTTGGAAGAAAGCCTTATCGTTTAGTTGGGCTAACTTGAGATACAAGGAGAAGAAGCCCCCTATGACTAAGTCCCCTTCTTTTCTGTATGTGGGACTGTAGGCTCTTTCTATATGACAAGGGCTCTTCTCCATGTGATACTCAGAAAGAGAAAGCTGCAAAATCAGGATCACAAATAGCCTGGACAACAAGAGCCCCAGTTTCCCCAGGTCTATGGCCAACATCCCAGATCTCTAAAGAGCCAGTGCACTGTGAAATGACTGGGAGTTGTTCATGCAACTATAAGCACATTGTCAGGTGCTAAAGATTTGTCTTTCCCAATGGATGCTCAAACTTTGAACAGTCTGCCTCACTTGGAAAAGCAGAATGTGAGACATGAAGCAGGCCTCTGTTTAGGATGAAAGCAAAAGCTAGAAAGAGCAGGGCATATTTATGGGGCGTTTTTGCCTCTTGGATATTATTCTTGTTGTTCCCTATAGATGGATTAGGAAAGGAGAGTTATCTTCATGCCTCTTGGGTGCAAATCAATCAAATATGTTGACCAGAGTCTGAGAGTGAGGGTCTCTAGGGACTGTCCTGCCCAGAATCTCTGCACCTGCTTCCTTCATCTTGGAAATTTCAAAAATTTAAGCATTAAAAAAAAAAAGACGGTCGTGAATCTCCTTAACTGCTTTCTCTCTGGAGCCTTCACAGCTTCCATGGGTTCTGAGATGCCCATTGGACCCTCTGATCTCTCTCAAGCTCGGTGTCTTGGGCCTTCCAGAGTGCCTACTTCCGTTCTCCCCAAGCCAAATCTCTGCAGTGACTCAAAATTGCTAGATGTTTCATCAGTCAGAGGACAGTGTGACCTGACAAGGGCAGGGATTGTGAATGATAGTGACAAGGCCCAGGCCACCAAGTTCCTAGGCTGAGATGAATTTTACATTACCTTGCCTTGAAAACATTAACCACAGTGCTTCATATCATTTTTTCCCCTGACTACCTCAACTTTGGAAAATCGCAGTCATCAAAACCCATTCTCCAGAAGCTGTATTAATTGCTTTGTGTGTGTGTGTGTGTGTGTTTTTGTTCCAACACCTAAATGTGTCATGGAACATTTTTTTAAAATAAAATTCTATAACTCTATCCATTAAGACATACTGTTATAACTGCAGCAAGTTAAAATGAACATCAATAGCATAAGCTGCAATTTTTGTAGAATTTTTAAAGTTGCTGTTAATGTATGAAGTAAATCCAGTTTAGACTATATCTTCTTGTCGCGTGGAGTAAACTTTTTTTTTTTTGCATTCTAATTTTGAAGAATTTTTTTCAACTGAGTAAAGTTTTGTAGTTCCTATTCTAAGCTGAAAATTCTTTCTAATACCTTTTCCCATAGTTCACCTTTATTTCTGCAATTCTCCCATGATCTCTCTCATTTAATTTTTAAAATCATTTTAACTCCTTAAAAAGACTTAGCCCATCATACTTTAAACTAAGCTAATGGTAACACATGGCAATTCAAATTATTTGTAAAATGTTATATGTATTTCTAAGTATACATCTATATTGAGAAATGAAGGTAAATACTTAGGTTGGCTTCTTATCTGGAAAAACCTCAAAAATAGGTAAAGGAGGCAGGGGATTGAGAATTGATCTAGCTTTTGAAGAGGAAATAATTATATGGAGCTGGGAAATGTCACCACATATCTTTAATACATACATTTACATTTACATATACATATACATATGCATATATATATACTCATATACATATAGTCACATATAGATGTATTTATGGATGATAATCTTTTTTCTTTTGAGTGAACAGTAGCTGGGGCCTTCGGGGTTTAAATGTTACCCTTAGTGATTATAAATTCAGATTTCATTAAGTCAAAATCTGTTAAAGGAAATCAGAAATGTGGTCTGTGTGTTCTCCTATCAGGATAATTATAGTAAGTAATATAACCTAATATAAAAGACATTTACTATTTGGCATTAAAAAAAACCTTATTAGCTATGTGTGTGACCCCAGGCAAATTACCTTATGTCTCTTTAACTTCAGTTTGCTTTTCTGTAAGGGGATAATAATAGCACCCACAGCCCTGGGTCATTGTGAGGATCACGTGATTATAAAGTGCTTAAGAGAGTGCTTGGCATAGGGAATATACTATATTAAGGTTAACTGTTTTTATTATTTCTTTAATTAGATGTAATTGATTCATCCTTGATAACTTTATATGGGTTTTTAGATGTGATCAATATATAATGCCAATGTGAATGAGATGAATGATTTTCTGTGTAAGATAATTTGAAAACTTTTGTCTTAGGAAGATTCTAAAGTTGAAAAAAATTCTTTGAAAATTTGGATGCAAAAAAAATAAATAATGACTACATAAGACAAGGAGATATCCATTACTGTGGGCCATTGGAATGTGTCAATCTACTCCTCTTCCATCAGGGCCTTTGCCACATCTCCCCCACCCTATTCATTGTGTCCTCCATTGAAATGTAAATTCCTTGAGGTTAGGGAAAGCCTTTGGTTTTGTATTTGAATTGAGGATGCTTAAACCAGTTCTTGGCACGTAATGAATGTTTGTTTAATAAATATTTCTTCCTTCCTTCTTTCCTTCCTTCTTCATTCTTCTTTCTCCCATGCCTTTCTTTTTTCTTTCCTTCTCTCCCTTTCTCTTTCCTTTTTCTTACTGGCATAGAGCCATATTCTACAACAAAGCACTAAAAAGTGCCTTCAATTCAAGATTCTGCCACCCACTAAAGAGGGAGGAGAACATGGTGGAAAAAGCTCATTTCTAGGAAACAGACCATTTCCAGTCAAGTCATTAGTATATCTCTAGATTTCACTCCATTTTTGAACAAGTAATGCTGAAATAATTCATTTACCACAGAAAGCGCAACATTTTTTTTTTTAATTTTCTCGCAAGTCCTGTTTTTTGTGTGTTCATAAAGAATCCTGAATGTTTCTGGGAATCATTATGTTAGAGAGTATACACCATAATGAACTAATTAAACAGTTCACCTTGGCTGTATCTAAGTAAGAATCAGTCGATTTGATTGGTCAATCTTATTCTTGGGCTGACATTTGGAGCCTCTTGTAAGGATCACTGTGAAGGGTGAGGTGGGATTTATCAGATCACACAGACAAATGAAACTGGATAGATTCATATGTTTGCCATCAGCAGACGACATAACCATAAGATTTAAATTAAAAATGTCTAAATGCCATTGTCTTTCTTGGGGACACAAACTCAGGGCCTCTTTACGTAGCTGTAGGAGTCCAGATAATGGATACTCTTTGGTTCGATCGATAGGTCCCTTTGTGTAAAAAAAAAGAATTCTCCTGTCTCCATCCTATTGTTATTATTCAAATTTCACCATTTGATCTGGAATATTCCAAGATTCTCTTAATTATGAATAATTGAGATCATTATATAACTTAGTTGGAAAGAATTTGAAAATAAGATTGAAAAAAGGAAATCAGAGCCCTGTCTTACTCAGAGCAAAAATGAAGAGTAAGTGGATGCTAGAGCCCTGTCATGCTCATTTCTAGTGTCTGTGGGGAAGTTCCTGCTGCCAATGAAGAAACAACATATTCCAGAATACTTAACAGGCAAAGTGAGAGCTCATATTATTCACTGGCCCCTCACCTGAAGGAAATCTGGCCAATCTATGTCTTCTTCATTAATACTGAATCTCTGATCATGAGGGATTACCTCACCCACTTTCACCAGTATCTCATTCCAATCAAAGAAGTATTTGTAATTCAGGATATCATATGTCTCAATGGCCTTTCTGGCTCCATCCCCACATAACTCATCACTGGCACTATTGACAGGAGTGGTGCACTTTAGGAAGTGGTAGAGATAAAGGCAAGGACGGGAATTTGTTAATCCACAGGGAAAGAAGGATTCATGTCCATGCTCCAGGCTTTACTATCAACACAAAATAGGCTCTGAATTTGGAGTTTCCAAAAGTTGTCAGTCTTTTTTTTCTTTAAATCCTTGTTCTTAAATTCCTCTTAGAGCTCTGCACTCTTTTCTCCTTTTCCATAGCAAGCCATGGACAGTGGAAGAATGACAAAGCCAGTAAACAATTATGTGTTATAGATATTGAAATGACCTCAAAAGCCATTTTTTTATTCCTTTCACCAAATCAGGAATTTCTTCCAAATATCTCTGATGTTTTGCATGCCAGGGCCTTTTCTAAAACCTGCGGTCAAAGGGAACTCAGTACTTTCTACAAGCAGAAACTCAACATTTATTCCCCATTAGACAGTGAGGTCCTCAGAAACTGGGACTTTATTTTCCTTTATTTGCATTCCCAGATCTCAGCACATTTCTAAGCACATAGAGGGTGCTTAAGAAATGTGTACTGATGGGCTGATGTTTACTCCTTGTACAAAAATCTCTTTTAAAACATATCCAATGTAAGTCTCTGAAGTGGTTGATAAGGTAAACCTAGGTATAAAGGACAATTTGGCATTGATAATGATGCAATTCAAGGTAAAGAAGGAAAATCAATTGCAAATGATTAAGAGACTAAACAATTTGGAGAATCAGTAATGCAAAATAAATAGAAAGGAGAATAATTTCAGTGGAAGAAATCATGAAAGAAATGGCATAATGATAAACTGTAAGAAAATGAAACATTTACACAATCTGAGGAAACTCTGAGAATCAGAGCTTTCAACAAAAGCTAGAAAATTATTTTGGACACATGGGATCTGGATGTCATCATTCAATGGAAGATACTCCAAAAAAATTTCCCAGAGTGATTGAAAATGTGGAATTAGAAGGTTGAAAAGAGAAATAAAGTCTACATTCATTTCACTGAGGAACGTTGTGGTAACATTTCATTATTACAGGGAAAAATGTTTGGTTTTAAATCATTGAGGCCTGTCCAACTCTCATGACCCAATGGACGATAGCAAGCCTGGCCCTTCTATTTTCAACTGTATCTCAAAGTCTGTCTAAGATGGTTTCCATGACACTATTTTTCCATCTCATCCTCTGACATCCACTCTTCCATTTACCTTCAATCTTTTTCAACATCAAGGTCTTTTCCAATGAGTCCCATCTTCTCATTAAGTAACCAAAACATTTAAGCTTCAGCTTCAAGATTTGATATTCCAGTGAATAGTCTGAATTAATTTCTTCGAGTATTGACTGATTTGATCTCCTTGCTGACCAAGAGATTCTCAAAAGTCTTCTCCAGCACCACCATTCAAAAG